AAGAGTACACTTATCATGATGAGCACTGAGTAAAGTATAGAATTGTTGACTCACTATATTGTACACCCCAAAATAATATAGCACTGTATGTTGCTGGAATTAAAATTTTTAACAATAATAAAGTAAAAAATCTTGATTTATCTACATACCTAACAAATAACTAACACTGTTAGATACACAGTATGAGATAAGAATTCCATCCAAGTCCTTTGAGGTTTCAAGGTCCAAAACTAGGGATCCAGGAAGCAAGGGGGAAAATTAGGGATCTGGACTGAGGCAGGGGAGGAAAGAGGCTAACATTGGGGCTGGACAGAATAGGGTGAGGCCAACATAACTTCCCGGGCCAGAGCCTGTGGCGTAGCTCCGCGCCGGGTGTGCTTGAGGATCATGGGTCTGCGGGCAGCTCTGCACTGGGGCCTCTTTTTGTTACATACCTCAGATGACAATATATTTTTCATTTCCGAGGAGCTCATAGGTTAAAAAAAAAATTTTTTTTTAATCTTCCATGAGACCTTCCTGAAAACTTGTCTTTTCTCCAGAAAAGCTTCAGGTATACAAAAGAACTATGATATCTTGTCTGGGACTATCTTTGCTACCAGACTAAAAGCCCATTGATATTATGGTTGTAGCAGCCAATTCTTAAATCCTCAACAAGCACTTTCTGTGCCCAGAACTCTAATGGCTCTTATAAATACCCTAAACACTTTCCATCTCTGGCAATTATAAGAATGTTTGTTAATATATCATCTGCACGTGTTTGAATATGTCAACTATTTCATAATATATGTTAAACAAAAGACCCAGTCCCTGTGCTCAGCGATGTCACACACTAGTTGAATATGGGATATACAACAATCTAAGTGACCATTTGAGTTTTTATGAATTTAAAAAGGACTAAGAATTGTGGCTAGAACACTTAGGGATTTTTCTTAAAGGAAGTAGAAATTGAGTTGGGCCTTGAAAGATGGATAATGTTTGGATAGGAAGCAGAATTAAAGACCCAGAGGTAGAAAAGAACTTGCTAGATGCAAAAGTTAGTGAGGAAACTGGCCATCTAAGAGGGTGCCGTTACCATAGTCTACAGAGCTGGGCAGGCACAACTGTATCTGGTGGCCCCGGTGGAAAAGTAGGGAATGATTAGAAAGGTTGGAACACTGGACTGAGAGTTTGGACTTCATCCTGTGAGAAGTGGCGAGCTGTAGAAGTGGTTTTGAGAAAAAAAGAAATGATAGCTAAGTGGCTGAACATACAGGCTTTGGAGCTAGATAAAAATTAGCATGGTTTTGGGGCGCCTGGGTGGCTTAGTCGGTTAAGCATCCGACTTTCGCTTAGGTCATGATCTCGCGGTTCGTGGGTTCGAGCCCCGCGTCGGGCTCTGTGCTGACTGCCAGCTCAGAGCCTGGAGCCTGTTTCAGTCTGTCACTCCCTCTCTCTCTGACCCTCCCCTGCTCACGCTGTCTCTCTCTCTCTCTCTCCTAGAAATAAATAAAAAACATTAAAAAATTTAAAAAAAAAATTAGCGTGGTTTGCACCTGTATTGCTGTTAAACTAGCCATATGATTCAGGGAAGTTACTTAAGTTTATTAAGCCTTGTTTTTCTTAGCTGTACAATGGGTATACTAGAATTTTCCTTCTAGAATTATGGGAAGATTAATTGACATAATATATGCAGTACTTGACACCTAGTAAGTGATCAATAAATCATATTCAATGTTTCAGAAACTTATTTTCACATAGTCCCAAAAGGGCTGAGGTTTTTTTTGTTTTCCTCTCTAATAAGCTTTTTAATTTTTTTAATAGTAAAAATTTGTTTTCAAGCAACTCTTATGTTCAAACAAACAAAATGTAGGATTCCAAGAATTAAAAGTGAGTGGGCTGAGTTTTTTTTTAATACTTTTTTTTTTTTTAAAGTAATCTCTATACCCAACGTAAGCTTGAACTCACAACTTTGAGATCAAGAGTCACATGCTCTACTGACTGAGCCAGCCTGGCACCCTGGGCTCAGATATTTTAAATGGCATTGGTCTATAGGATGAATCGAGGGAAGAGAGATTGGTAGATGGACTAGCTGCTTTTGTTTCTAAGTGGTTTTTAACTCTGTAAAAACCAGTTAGTTGACAGTAACATTGGTATGAAGTAATAAGTAGAAGTTCGTTTTTAAAATAGAAGTTGGTTTTTAAAATAGAAGTTGGAAAAAACTCTATTTCCTCATATCTGTGACATCAGCGTTAGAAGATGCACCATTATGTATGCACCATGAAGAAAGAGAAAACATTGACAAACTCTGGCAGTGCTTATCACTTAAGACTTCTTATTTTGTATGTATTGAAAGAACTTTTTCAAGCTTATTTAGGCATAGATTTTAATCACATTGCATTTTTATATAATACGTAAAAAGGAAAAGGAAAGTGAAATAAATTGATACTCCTAAAACTTCCTCACTTTCACAGCTCAGCGCTTCCGAATGACTTCTTGTTTCAAAGACATCATTGGCTGTGGCATTTCATTAATACTGCCCTCTGTGCCATCAAGAGCATGGGTGGTGCTACGTGTCTCTAGAAAGTGCTCTGCTATTGTCTCCAACTGCAACACGCTGGATGCTGGGGCTTCTTGATCTTACCGTAAATATCACTGGGGAGACTATCCAACTATAACAAGACTCCCATTCTTTTCTCAAATGGTGCTCAATGGTTTGTTGATTGAAAAGGCAAGGGATTGCATTGCTCCCAGAGATAACAGCCATGTCCATATGTGCAGGAAGTGACAGCTGTGCCCCAGGTTGCCTCATCCACAGCAGTTTAAAGATGTATCCCAGTTTCAGGGGCACCTGGGCGACTCAGTTGGTTAAGCGTCTGACTTGGGTTCAGGTGATGATCTTGCAGTTCGTGGGTTCGAGCCCCATGGTGGGCTCGGTGTTGGCAGCTCAGAGCCTGGAGCCTGCTTCAGATTCTTTGTCCCTCTTTCCGTCCCTTGCCTGCTCACACTCTGTCTGTCTGTCTCTCTCTCTCTCAAATTAAAAAAAATTTATAAAAGAGGTATCCCAATTTCAGAGGACTGATAAATATGAAAAAAAATATCAGAGTTGATAAATCAGATAGAATTAAGGCACTAGCTTGAGAATTCTGGGAAACTTGACTGAGCAACCTTAAAAATACTGTGGTCACAGCTGAAGTTTTGTTGTAAATTACTCAGGAATGCTCTACCAGCAGTTTTTTTTTTTTTTGATACTCAAGATATTTTTAAGGACTTAACATGGCACTGATAAGTTTAGCAAATGCCTGGGTGTGAATTCCTAGAATTTTTCCAATCCATAAAAAATGACCAAAATTGTTTGAAACTGGCTGATAATGTATTCGTAATAATCTAATGATTTCCTGTCTTTGAATACCAAGTGTTTCCAGTACAATGAAATTTATTTTTATACTATGATCATTCACTCTTAGTGTGGGCCTACATACTAATATAATGATTTGACCTAATACATTAAAGTTCAAAGACCAGAACTTAGGCTTATAAGATTGAGTTTTTCGTCGGCTGGTAGTGTAAAAACTCTGTATAGGATACAGAAACCTAGAGCACAGAAAATATAAATCCTTAAGTTGGCATGGCAACACCAGCTGCTTATGTTATAATAAATACGCTGGCAATGATTTTTCAAACTTTCTTTTTTTGTTAGAAACCAGGATAAAACTGAATCTCTAGGATGATAACAGTTCTACACATTTGTATTATTTTTCTTTTATCCCCTTCATTGTTGACCTATTTGGAAGGTTCTACAACTGCAAAAGTTGTACTTCATAGCCAACAATAATTTATAGTTTTCCACATGCATGAGGGGGCGTATGGGAATCTTTCTTTTTTAACCTTCATAATGAGATACTTTATAAGGAAGTTTGTCCTGATCAGGGTCCAGTCTGGAGCAGAAAACCCGGGACCCAAACATTGCTGTAATTTCTGGGATCCCTCATTTTCTCTTCCCTTATTTCCTAAGATAATGGCTGAGCCCTAAAAGCAAGTCAGAGCCCTGAAAGCAAGTTAATTTCCTACCCCATCTTGTCACATTTCCAAAATTCCGTGGCTTCCTGGTTATCCCCAAAGGTGTCCTTATCCCCTCGTGTGTTCTTGTAAGTGAATGCACCCATTATTGGTGGTTGTCGGACCCTATGTCTGCCTGCTGTTTCTGCTCATCATGGAGGAATGTGTGTATGTACAATGCGCTGCTGTTAAGTCTCTGTCTTTGGAGAAACCTTTCACTGGTAGTAGAAGGAAAGGAGTCAGAACAATGACACCTGGTTCAGACCTACATGTCTGAGCTACAGAGGTATCATGGGTTTGAAGTTGACCTCTGTCACCAAGGAGTACCAGAAAGGAGGAAGGCGTGACCTGCGGGGCTCTCCCTTGGCCTTGGACCTTATACCGATAGTGGTACCTTTGACGCACAGCTACAGTATATGCTTCTTGTTGTTTCCTCCAGTGCATTCAGCCCAGCCTCTCGAGCACTGAATCACCTGTTGGGTAGTCTGGCCTTGCAGGAAAGTAGCAGCAGTTTCAGATAGGTTGCTTAGAGTTTTAGAGATGCAAGTCCTTAATGATCTTGGAAGTGATTTTGGTGATGAACTGCCACAGCCAGGTCTTAATCAGATGGCCTGGGAAACACAGAATAAGGAATTCCATTCCTATTAGGTCTGCAACAGGTGATGGGGCCAGTGTTGACGGAGACAACGTGATTTTAACTGAGAAGCAGTGTTTCTGTTAAGCTTTTTCCACTGGCTCCTTTCTACTGATATTACCTGTAATTTCATCATCTTTTTACTTAACTCTGTACGGTGTGATGTCTTTGGGGCCATCGGGTATTTTTATCTGCTCTTTGTAGAAGTGTTTGTTCTTAGGGCTCTGCTTAGGGTTGAGGGGGGGCGGCCCCACCCACCCTCCGGTTGCTTGGCACCAACCCTCCCTGGCTGTGGGGCGTCTTGTTTACTTCTGTCCTTAATTCCCTGCAGGTGCGCAAGTACAAGAGCATGATCCTGGAAGACCTGGAGTCGGCCCTGGCAGAACACGCCCCTGCACCACAGGAGGTTAACTCAGAGCTGCCCCCTCTCACCATCGACGGAATTCCAGTCTCTGTGGACAAAATGACCCAGGTAAGGGGCGGGCCGGGAGGAGGAGACAGAAAGGCAAGTGGCCCGGGTGTGGGCGGGCCTCGGATCACATTTCTCAGTTTTGTGCTCAGGTGACACCAGCGGGGAGAGAGAGATACATAGGCTGGAGTCTGACAGTGAGGCGGTGACAGCCTTGGGAAAGAGAATGTAGTGTTCGAAGAATGCTCCCACCCAAAGAACATGGATATGGTCTCCTCCTTGGTTGGCAGCTCTTTCCTTTCACTTGGGCTGTTGGGTTAGATAAAGAAACTCTTGGCTTGGAGTTGGTTTGAACAGGTAACTGTTAGGACTTTGATGAATCACCATCAAGCAGGGCAGATAAACTGTTAGTCTGAGTTGCTCCTCTTTTCTATGTGAATTCTGAAAGCCACCACGCTGTCGCCAAGGCTCCCCTCTCTGGGGAGTAAGTATGCAAAACTCACAAGGACGCCCCCCCCCCCCCCCCCCCCCCCCCCCCCCCCCCCCCCGAGTCATTGCTTCCCTCCTCTTTCTTTGACAAGGGAAGTCCAAGTATACTTAGCCTGATAAGTCAGCATACCTCAGGAATTTTGCTGAGATGGTCCGTTTTAAATGTCTCAGCTTTGAAAGTGATAGCTTGATTCAAGATCAAATGCCCTTTTGTGACATTTTCCCACCGTATTTCTTTATTAATATACAGCTTTCTTGTTAAATCCAGTTGTGAGTTTTCTTTCCTTTTCTTATTCAGTGTCTTCCAGCAACAGTTAACCCAGTTGATTATTCCTTCCTTCCTTTTTTTCTTTTTGCCCCACCCCCAATTATTCCTTCCTTCTTAAAATGCTTTCTGCTCTGTTTCTGACCCCACACCCTCCTGAACACCTTCCTACCTCACGGTGCTCTCGCTCAGCTCTTCTGCTGGCTCTTCTTCCTGTTCTCAATTGATCAATATTGGCATGTCCCTATCTTTAGTTTCTTTCCAAGGGTCTTATCTTGTCCTGTGGGCTTTATGTCTCCTCTATATGCCGTTTACAACCTGGCTTATACCCCATGTTCGACTCCAGTGCCCCGTGTTCCCCACGACCTTTGATCGCCCCACCCTCCATTCCCCCTCCTGCCTGCTGTATCAGTTAACAGCACCGCCATCTGTCTGGTTCCTCAAGTGCTAGAAGGAGCAACCCTTCCTTTCCCTGTTTTGCCTCACTCGCCACGTGATTTCATTAGCAAGTCATGTGAGTTCAGCTCTGAGATGTACCCTAAGTCTGCCCGCTCTTCTTAGTTCCCATCACCACCCTTGCCCAAGCCAAGCATCCCTCCCATGGAGACTATTTCAGCGCTTCAGGTCTGTCGCTCTCCTGGTTGTGGGTCTTGCTCGGCTGCAGGCTGTGCTTCACAGAGCCACCAGGGGTTTTTTTTAAAGACTTAAGTCGGCTCGGGGCGCCTGGGTGGCTTAGTCGGTTGGGCGTCCAACTTTCGCTTAGGTCATGATCTCGCGGTTCGTGGGTTCGAGCCCCGCGTCGGGCTCTGTGCTGACTGCCAGCTCAGAGCCTGGAGCCTGTTTCAGAGTCTGTGACTCCCTCTCTCTCGGACCCTCCCCTGCTCATGGTGTCTCTCTCTCTCTCCTAGAAATAAATAAAAAACATTCATTTAAAAAAAAAAACAAAACTTAAGTCGGCTCTTATCACTGTCTTATTTAAGCCTTTTCATGGCTTTTCATTATTCCTAGAATCAAACTCAGACGCTGCTATGGCCTCTGAAGCCCTGTATAGTCTGAGAATCCAGCTTCATTCTCCCTCTCAGTCACTGTGCTCTCGCCACACTGGCCTTTTTGTCAAACGCTCCAGGCCTGTTCTTTCAGTTTTGCTGTTTCCTCTGCCTGCAACACTGTTTTCCTGGATCATTGCATGCTTAACCTTATGTTACTCAACGCCTGGCTTAGACATCACCTCCTGAGACAAGCCTTTCTTGATTATCCCACCTAATGGGGCTTTCTCCTTGCTACCAAGTCATATCCTAATGCATCCCCTATTTTACTGTTTTGTAACACTGATTACCCTGGAACTAGCATATTCATTAGCATTCATATTTGTCTGCGGTCTGTCCTTCCAGCTAGAGTTTGAGAGAGATTTAGCTCTGTCCTTTACTGCTGTCCACTACCGTTCCCAGCACCTAAATAACCTCTAAATTCTAAATAATAGGATCTGTTCAGTAAGTGACTCAGGGTCAGGGTAAAACGAGGCCAGTATGATAGGTGCCCAGATTGCAGGTCTCCTACTGGGGTGTTCACTGGCTCTAGACATCGATGCTGCTACTCAAGAGGTGGCACTTCTTTTCCTTGCTAAGTCTGAACCTGCAACATAGCCTACAGCAATACAACATTTTGTAAAGCCAAATTGTGATCTTCTGCTTGTTGGGTTCATAGATCTTTCTTCGGACATTTGGAGACTATCTAAATAATGGTTCAAAAAGGAAAGCATTATCTAATCTTTTTTTCTGTCAATTCATACCTGTTATTTTGTCCTGAGGACCATTCTTATTCATAAAAGAAAACAGGTGAATTTTTTTTACCTGGTTGACATAGAGTCTACTCGGGGGGCACCTGGTGGCTCAGTCAGTTAAGCATCCGACTCTTGATTTTGGCTCAGGTCATGATCTCACAGACCATGAGATCAAGCCCTGAGTCAGGCTCTTCACTGACAGAGGGGAGCCTGCTTGAGATATTTTCTCTCCCCCTCTCTCTGCTCCTCCCCTGCTTGCTCTCTCTCAAAATAAATAAATAAACATTAAAAAGAAAAGAATCTATGCTGTATCTCAGATATAAAGTATATCTAAAGCTGACGAAGCTTCTGATTAAGAATACTCTATCATGAGGCACCTGGGTGGCTCAGTAGGTTGGGCATCCGGCTTCGGCTCCGGTCATGATCTCACAGTTTGTGAGTTTGAGCCCCGTGTCAGGTTCTGTGCTGACGGCTCAGAGCCTGGAACCTGCTTTGAATTCTGTGTCTCACTCTGTCTCTGCCCCTTATCTGCTCACAATCTGTCTGTTTCTCTCTGTCTCGAGAATAAATAAACATTAAAAAAAATTTTTTTAAATGCTCTGTCAGGAAGCACCTGGATGTCTCTGTCAGTTAAGTATCCAAATCTTGATTTCAGCCCAGGTCATGGTGTCATGGTTTTGAGACTGAGCCCCACATTGGGCTATGCCCTGACCGTGTAGAACCTGCTTGTAATTCTCTCCTTCTCTCTTTGCCCCTCCCCTGCTTGCACTTGCTGCATGTGTTCTCTCTTTCTCAAAATAAATAAACTTTAAAAAAAGAGTACTGTGTTAGGTATGTGAGGCACTATTCCCTCTCCCGTGATGGGCATTTTTTCCTTCTTTGTCATGTTTGGTGTGTGAGGTTGAAATAATCTGAGGATTTGATTATATTAAATCATCATTTATATTACATTAAATAATCTGAGGTTTTGATTGTATTAAATGATTAATTCAAATCATCATTAAATCATATCACTGGTAGTTATGAAACTTGGCTGATGGCCTCAGAAGTCAGAACAAACAGTTTAATTTTCATGTTGGAGGTAAAACATTTGAAACTGTCGTTTTCCATTTTTGTGAAATATTCACTCAGGAGAGCTTTGTGTAATGAAGGATCCAAGGGAAGCTGGTACTTTGTTGGGGGCATACATTTTCTTCATCGTCCTCCATTCCTTTCTTTCCCTTCTCATCATAGATCATGACTAAAAAGCACTACGTAACAAAACAAAACAAACAGATGGTGAAGTGTAAGCACCAGCTCCTAAGTGAATGGGAATTTCTGAGTAGTTGGATGCTAGGTTTTTACCCTGGAACCTTTTTTTCTCTCAGATACTTATCCTTAATGTGAGCCAGTTACCTTTTTTCCTAATTGATCCTAAGGCTTTTCACTATTAATGGCAGTAAAAGCAGGTGTTACTTCAAACCAAAGCTCGACAAGAAAAGGAATGGGAATATGAGCATTTTAACACACTGTCAATAGAAATAAGCAGTGGTATGATCTTTCCAGAAAGCAGGTTGGCAGTGCGTATCAAAACGTGTATGTCCTGCCCTCTAAGTGAGCAAAGATGTTATGTTCATGGCATTGTTTATAATAGGAAAATCTGGGAACAATGTGCTTAATAAATTATAGTAGTGATGTTTAATGTTTACATTCAAGAACAGCAGCTCCCAGAAGAGACTAGAAGTTTACTTTCCAACAAAAAATTAGACACTAAAAATGCTGACTTGCTGTCTGTTGCAGTGGGATAGAGAGTTCCAGTAGTTTGAACTGCTTGTAAAATAACATTTCTTATGTACTCTAATTTGAGTGCTCTATTTAGTACTTTGTTTAGCACTTCATTTTATGTTTCTTTGGTAGGGGGCTAGTTGTTTTTTGTTTTTTTTTCCAGGAAATATATAATTGAGTTAATCAATTTCATTTGTGTAAATATGCACATAAAACTTGCCTCTGTGTGTGTGTGTGTGTGTGTGTGTGTGTGTGTGTGTGTATAACTTAAGAGAGATATAAATCTATTTACTGTAGGACCAAAATATTAACAGTGATTATCTATGCATTGTGGCATTATGGGCGATTTTCATTTTCTTTGTCTAATAAGCATGAGTTACTTTTTTTTTTTTAATTAAAAACTTTTTTAACATTTATTTATTTTTGAGAGAGAGAAAACAAAAGTTAGGGAGGGGCTGAGAAAAGGAGACAGAGGATCAGAAGCAGGCTCTCCACTGTGAGCATAGAGCCTGATGTGAGGCTCAAACTCATGAACAGTGAGATCATGACCTAAGCTGAAATCAAAAGTTGGCCGCTTAACCAACTGAGCCGCCCAGGCACCCCAAACATGACATTACTTTTATAACCATAGAAAAATATACTTTCATATTTATATTAAACTTGAATTTTTTAAAGTACAGTTTGTTGAAGTTTTGTTTGATTTTTGTGTTTAAATGAAGATGTTAACAACTCTTTTTCTTTCTCTTATTTTTCTTCTCTGTAGCT